ACAAAACATATTTGTTTGGGTTATAATTTGTTTTTTAACAAATGATTAACCTAGTAATTGAATTAAATTAACTAAAAAATCGACCATGCCATTTATTTCTTTAGAATATGCATTATAATATTAGTAACTCGATATTTATGTCTTTCTAAAGAATCTTGATCGTTTTTAAACTAACATTTGATTGAATACGCACTAATTACAAATTTTTTTTAAAAAAATAAAAAGTAGAATATTGCAAAATAAAAGGAAACACTAGAATTTTTAAAAGCTCGATGGACCAGAGTAAATGTAGGAAGAACTTAAACACAACATGACAATATAAGATAAATTTTTGTAGATTATAATTAATCTTTTCCTCCCACGTCACTCGGTTTTTCATCTTTATATTTTTCGCATTTATTTTTTACACTTCACACCCCCTCAACAAAAATGTTGAATCCGTTACTAGCTATAATACCTAATTTCTTAAGAAACGTGCCATGGAGAATAGCTATTTTTATTAAACTTTTCATATTTTGTATACTTATTGGATAAGAGCAAGACATAAAAACTTTATTGATCTCTTTCACTAATCACGTAGTAAAGAAAATAAGTTAAAATGTAACATATATTTTTGCTTGATTTCTTTACTATGTAATTAGAATAGTGTAATAATATTATTTCATTTATTTATTTATTTTGAAAAGAAATGAACTTAAGGGGGTAATAATTGGTAAAAAAAAGTTTAATAGGTGTAATAAAATCCTGCATAATTAAGATTTGTAATTGACAATATCAAAGGATTATTTCTATGTTTTATCTCTTCTACTATCATTGATCGGTTTAGATATAGATTTATCTAACTCCAAAATTTTAAATTTAATAATCATAATTTTGATAATGATGTTTACTTTTTTCTTCAATCACTAGCTACTTTAATAGTATTACTTTTTCTATTATTACTAATCATGTCCAATTAAATATAAGATAAAATGGAGAGATACATTTTGGACAATGAAGTTAATACATATAATATACTTGGTAAGATGAACACCTAACAAATTAAAATTCTTAATCAAATAAAATATTGTATGTCAAACATTATTATAAATTTTCAAACCTTCTCCTTTACCCATGCGCCATGCCCCCTTTTTTATAATAACAATAATAATAATAATAATAATAATTTATTTATTTTTGCAAACGTAACATCTCACAACCAATTTTCTCTTATAATAAACAGAATAAGAAAAATAATTAAAGAGAACAAATAAGAATATTCTTAAACTCTCTTTTCTGATTCAATGACCAAAGTACCATCCAAAAGTCATATCTACATAATTATGTTAATTTTATAGCAAAAAATAATAAAATATACTTGACCAATAAATGTCAATAAGCATCACCATAGAATAAGCACTTTTGCCTTTACGTTGTATTTTTTTCTTCTTTTCAATCAGTAATTTATTTAAAATAAACATTATTTAAAAGCATTATTACCCATTGAACTGAAAATATAACTTTAAAAGAAGATAGTGAATTCATCCATTTATTTCCTTTTCAGTAGCATCAATCCCCATCAGAAAAAAGCAGTCTATTGGTGTAACTAATACTAGTTTATATGTGCAAGAAGATAGAGAAAATGAAATAATTATATGAGTGTGAGGGAAAGTATGTGTATAACTTTTTTGGAGTTACTTGTATCTCTATTTTATTTTATGGTACATTACACGTTACAAGAAATTTATGAAAAAATCATTTTTTTAAATTTTTGTAAAATATATATGTTACTTTTTTTGTTCCAGAATTTCACTTTTGTCATTATTATACTATACATGAGTAGGATTATTTTTTTTTATTTTTTTTTGTGGGGGGAGGGGGGAGGGGGGGTTGATGCTTCTCATGGGGTTGATTTTATCGAGAGGAATTTTTTATCAAACTAAGCCATTATATAAAATAATTTATTAAAATAATATATTTTTTAAAATTTTTACAAAACTAGTATAAACGTATTTCACAGTAATGTTTTAGTATATATTTCAATTTTAAAAAACTAACAGTGTTAGATTGATATATGTTACTCATAGTAACGTTTTACTCCTAAAATGTTACCGCGAGTAACTTCTTATTCTAAAAACGTTACTCACAGTAACGTATATCAACTTAACACCGCCAGCTTTTAAAAAATAAAATATATCCTAAAATGTTACTGTGAAATATATTTATACTAATTTTATAGAATTATAAAAAAAATATATTATTTTGATAAATTACTTTATATAATAACTTAGTTTGGTCAATACTTCTCGTCAAGATGCTGACCAAGTGACCTAGCCCTTTATCTTATCTTTATTTTGGATACATCTAATGATAACTTTATATGTTATGTTGTTGTTCTTATTATTATTAACTTTTTATGTTATGTTGTTCTTTTTTTTTTTATTATTATTATTATTATTATTATTATTATTATTATTTAAAGGAGAGGAAATATTTTGATAGATAGTTTGATAGGATATATTAGAGAAATAATATATTTATTAAATTTTAAAATTATTCCATGCTCTAATTGATATAGTGTTTTAATACACATACTAATTGCATATCATGTTCTGTATTTAAGGATGTATAATTATTCTCTCTGTTTTAGTTTAGTTATTTAATTTTAATTTGTCATAAAATTTAAAACAATCTAAAAAAAAAGATAAATTAATTACTCATAAAGAAAGGAGTAATATGCATAGCAACTCATGGTATTAGATATGGGTGTACATGATCGGGTTGGTTCGAATTTTTCAAATATCAAATCAAACCATTTGTGTTGGGTTTTTGAATTTATAAATCAAACCAAACCAATAAAATTTGGGTTTTTCAACTTCAGACTTTTTGGATTTTTTTATTTTTTTGATAAAATATTCATACAAACATATATACTTGTACATCAAATATTTCTTTAATCCTATCAAAATGTAACTACCTAAGTTATTTTTCAAGAAAATAACCAAAAATATGATATGATTAATGACACTAAAATGTCCAACAAAAAGATAATAATAAGATCGCGTAAAAAATATTACAAATTAATAAGACATAATGAAATTGATCATAATTTAAAGTACTAAATCATGCTAAAATAAGTTTAGTAAGTATTAGTTACATGACTAAATATTAAAGAATTAAAATTAGAACATGTATTTTAATTGTCTAAATTTATGTAAAACTAAAAAATAAATATTCAATATAATTGTTATTCTTCGTGTTGAATTAATTTTCATTTTGCATTAGTATTAATTTGATTTGTAATCACCAACATGTATGAACTATAATTTTTATTTTAGATCATTAAAAATTCTTACTTCCAAACATGAAATAAATATATTAATAGATAAAACTATGAAAAAGCAAAAGAGATATTTAAAAATTATATCAAAATAGGTATTTTTACATATAAAATAATATTTTAAAATTATATATATAATGTCGGGTTGATTTTTTTAGTTGAAACCAACCCAACCCAAATATAATCGAGTTTTTTTTTTCAACATCAAATCAAGTCAAGCCAAATCACTAATCAATTTTTTTTATTTGACTCGATTTACGTTTTGATTCGATTTTTAATTTAATTTTGTACGCCCCTAGTATTAGCAATATCATGTGTAGTATTAAGACACAAATAATTAATGATTAAAGTTCTCATTGAATACACTAAATTAAATAGTGGATAAGAACTAAACACAATCAATTTAACCATTGCTAAGACCTCATTTGTTTCTATTAAGGTTAAGATGTATGAATCTGAATACATATCTGAATATTGAAATGTGATTTCTATATAAGAACACTAAATAATTAATGTTGTTTGTTTTTATCTGAATGTGCATATGAAATTAACATTAAATTAATAAAATATCATAAAAATTTCATTTCAACAAAATATATCACTTTTGACAAAAAAAATGTTTTAAGAGTTTTAATAATCATGATTTGGAGTACTATCTTTTTCATTCAAAAATTCTAATAAACACCAATAGACCAACAGTGTTCTTAACACAGTCAATACAAGAAAGTTATTAATATAAAAAAAAATACGATTTATGAAAACTTAGAATGGTGTTTGATTGAGAAAATAGAGAAAGAAAGTTTTTAATTATGAGATAAAAAGACATTCTCAAAGCAGAGAAGCGATAGATTTATTATTTAATAATTTATTATATGAATCTGAATGTTGTTAAGAGTATCCTAAAAATCTGACTCATTGTTTTTACAAAAATAAAACAAATGAACTTAAGGAGCTGAATCTGAATGATTCGGATTCAGACCAAAAAATCAAACGTACTTAATAGACTGAATCTGAATGATTAGGATTCAGACCTGCATTAAGTTCAAACATATAAGGTCTAAAATTCTCTCTATTCGCTTTTACTTTTTCGCTTTTTTAAAAAATAAATTTTTTATTTTTACTCATCATTTTTATATATCAAAAAAACAAAATAAATATTTATTTTTTTCTATGATTTACTCTTAACGATAATTACTTAATTTCCAAATGATTTTTTTAAATCTAATATTAAATATATAATAGTAAATTCTCATATTAATCATTATATATGTGAAGTCTAAAATTAACAAATAAAATTTAACTATAAAGTATTTTTGGTATACCCGACCCTAATACAAGCAACCATAAAAAGAGCTTTCATATATATATATATATATATATATATATATATTTTTTTTTTAAAATAGCAAACGTATATTAAAGAGAATGTAACAACTAAAATAATCAAATATATTTTTCTTTTTCCTCCCTCTTCTTCTCTATTAATTAAAATTAAATCACCAACAACTCAAACTCAATTTTTTTTTTAAAAAAAAATCTAATTATTAGGCTTTTTGGTACCTTGACATCATCGCTCTTATACTAATTAAAACTTTGTTTTCAACGTTATACTTCAAAAACTCTCTTTTTTTTCTTTTTGTTTGTTTTATCCAAAATTTCTTTTATAAAAAATAATTATCATTTACTTTCTATTGAACTCTTCTTTTTTTTTTTGAATTTTCATTATGGCTTCAATCTCTAATTCCTTTCACTTTTCTCTAAAAAGATCAAATTTTTATTCTTCTTCATCCCACAAACTTATTAATAGAAATTTAACTAATTCAGTTTCACTCAAAAATTTGTCAATAATTGCAAATTCCAAAAACTTTGAATCAATTAAGCCTAAATGCAGTCAATTATTGAAGCCAAGAAATAGTGTTGATGTTTTTGTTACAAAAGCAGTAGCTGCTGATGCAGAGGGTCATGACATTGAAATTACTGATGGGTTTGTTTTATTTTGTTTTGTTAATTTTATTTATTTATACTTTCATTACATTTTTTTTTGGCTAATTAATTATCAATTTTGTATGTAGGTATGTTAAACCAACTAAAGGATTTGCTGAAAAATTTCCAGCTCTAGTTACTGGATTCTTTTTCTTTACATGGTGAGCTTTACTTATTGAACAAGTAGATATACATGTCTTACATGACAAATCACATGACATGACGTGTTCTATCTGTCAAATCATGTGAGACTGCTGTGTAGTAAACATGTGTTTATTTGTTCAATTTTTATAATACTTGTGTAGACTCAAAAGTCTGAAGATCAAGTTAAATGACGTGTTTATGTATTATCTTTTAGATAAAATTGTGACACACTTTAATGTGATATCAGACCAGACATGAAGAATTTCACGAAAAAGAATGAGATTTGCATACGAGGGGCGTGTTGAGTATATTATCAAGTGAATAAAAGTGTACTCTTTCAAATATTTTAAGCTTTTAGATAAGATAGACACAACTTCAACAAGGATAAACGAGTTTTTGGACTGATAGATCTTTTTCTCTCTTTAAAGAGTTAGAACCTATTTGGATTGACTTTAAAAAAGCAGTTTTTAAGTCCAAAATTAAAAATCAAACTAAAATGACTTTTAAGTCAAAAATAAAAAGTGGGGGAGGCCTACTTTTGATTTTTGACTTATTTTAAGTCATTTTAAACTTATGTCATTTTTACCTTGTTAAACATTTTTCAACTTATCTTAAGTCATCTTTTTACTTATTTTAAATTATTTTTTATATTTATCAAACCCTTCGAGAAAACAAAAACTGACTTAAAAGTAAGTTTCATAAACTTTAAGTCAATCCAAACACCCCACTTAGAGTTATTTTGGGGAGGGGTGAGGGCAAGGGTGGAGCCAGCTTAGGGTCAGGCGGTTCATCCTAACCCCCTTCATAAGAAATTATATTATTTATATATGGCTTAAATTAATTTTTATGTACATATAATAGGTGTCGAACCCTTTTCGACTAGTTCATCTGTTTACTTCTTCAGATTTTAAACTCTCTTAATAAAAATTTTGGCTCTGCTATTAGGTGAGTGTAAGTGGAATATGGCTTGAGAAGGTAAAAATGAGTACTGATCATCAAGTTTGCTGATGCAGGTACTTTCTGAATGTGATTTTCAACATACTCAACAAGAAAGTATACAACTATTTCCCATACCCATAGTAAGTGGCTATTGTTATTTAGGAGATTCTCAAATCAAATATCATGTTCTTGCAAAGAAAAAATTAAGCTTATATGATTTTCTTGCAGCTTCGTTTCAGTTGTACATCTCCTAGTTGGAGTAACCTATTGTCTTATTAGTTGGACCGTTGGTCTACCTAAACGTGCGGTAAGTTCATCCATATATATACAAGTAAACTTCCTTAAAAAGTGAGATACACAAGTTAGATTGACGATGTATATAACTCAAACTCTTTTGTTAATTTGCTCAAAGCTGGCTTTAATTGACTTGCATTTGTCAAAAATATGTGACTATAGCCCATCAATAAGGAACTTCTGGCACTGCTTACTCCGGTAGCATTCTGTCATGCTCTTGGACATGTTATGTCTAATGTGTCGTTTGCAACTGTTGCTGTATCCTTCACTCATACCATCAAAGGTAATAACCCATAAATACACACTACTTTAGTTCGATAAGTTTTTCTTTTTGAATAACAGATGCTTGTAACTTTATATGGTTCAAATGAGTGCTTCGTTCTTAAAGATGAGCAGTGGTCTAGAGCTAAGCATATTAGGAGCAGGAAAAATTACCTTAAGTTGACATCGATAGTACTTCTTAACGATATATGGCTTCAAGAATTAAATGTGATATAAGAAATCAGTTAAGAATACTTCATTACGTCAACATGTTCTGCAATAACTGACATTTTGTCATTGGTGTTGCATAGCTCTGGAGCCATTCTTCAGTGCTTCGGCTTCTCAGTTTGTCTTGGGCCACCAGATCCCCGTCTCTCTGTGGTTATCACTGGCCCCTGTTGTCATTGGTAAGTGTCATATACAGGCATTGTGATTTTCCCTTCACTAGTTCAAACATTTACCAACTGCTCAAGAAAATCGTCGCTGTTGAGGCAAAACAAGAGCAACTTTTTGATGTTATATCATAAGTAATATATTATGCGCGTTTGTCGAATGAACAACAAATCCTCAACACTGAGGTTCTGCTTCATTCCCCTTTCTGATCTAGCCTGCTCAAATTCTGATCAAAACAATATTGTTGATTACTGATACTTCTTAGGTGTATCGATGGCGTCGTTGACTGAACTATCGTTCAATTGGACTGGCTTCATTAGTGCAATGATCTCAAATATTGCTTTCACTTACAGAAGTATCTACTCAAAGAAAGCAATGGTAAGTGTTCTTCTCATAGAGTAATACTGCCAAGCATTACCTTAAGCATGTCGTATACATTCAGGGTAGCCTAATTGACAGACCCCTTCATAATCTCCTCCTACAAAAATTTTGTCGTCTTATTAGGTTAGATTAATACAGACATGAACGGGAGTGTTGAAGCAACAATAAAGTTATCTTTGGGTTAAATAGGTCACGGGTTCGATCCATAGAATCAACCACTCATACTTGCATCAAGGTAGGCAGCCTGCTGCATCATACCCCCATGGGGTGCGGCCCTTCTTCCTACCCCGCGTGAACACGGAATGTTTTATGTATCGGGCTGTTTTTTTGGTCGTTTACTTTCTAATATACATCATCGAGGAGATTGCTCACATGTTGATTAAGCAGGCGAAACAAGTAGGACAGTTTTAGTTTTCTCAAATTATCTTTGTGAAGTGTCTTCTATCCTGCATAGCAGAGTATTTATGTTACATTTTGTAATTTATTATCATATGGTATGTTGTTTTTAACAGACTGGAATGGACAGCACAAATGTATACGCGTATATTTCAATTATCGCCCTCCTCTTTTGCCTCCCTCCAGCAATATTTGTAAGTAATTTTTTCTCAGAAATTCGTAAAACCTTCTCTGTCAGAGTATTTTCAAGATAGAACTAATTGGCAAATGCAATGTCAGATTGAAGGACCTCAACTACTGCAGTACGGTTTCCGCGATGCTATTGCTAAAGTAGGTCTTTATAAGTTCTTATCCGACCTTTTGTGGATCGGGATGTTCTATCATCTGTATAACCAGGTACACCACGAGTACGTAATGTATCAACACATTAGCTTTTTTTTCAATAGAGTTGGAAATTCGTTAAGTCTTTTAACATTTGCAGATAGCTACTAACACCTTAGAGCGTGTAGCGCCACTTACACATGCTGTTGGAAATGTGTTGAAGCGAGTGTTTGTGATTGGTTTCTCTATAGTAGTATTTGGTAAGTGTTGATTAAATAACACGCAATTTGTTGCTCGGGTATGGCAGTTTGTTCTGTGCTTTAATTGTTTGAAAACTTCGCAGGAAACAAGATATCGACTCAAACTGGGATTGGTACTGCAATAGCTATTGCTGGTGTTGCTATCTACTCGTTAATAAAGGCAAGGATGGAAGAGCAAAAACGGGTTAGTCCTCGAAAGCATATCATCATCTGAATAGAAGTAGCTAGTAGAAAATTGAATACGAGTGCACAAAATTGCCTCAACGGTCTTGTCTATTTTCAGAAGGCTTCTGCCCTTGCTCATGAACAATAGCGGGAGGACTAACAAAGACGAAGATGGTAAGAGTGAACACTAGAAGAGTATGAGGCAGCGCGGAGATGATCTGATAAATGCAGTAAGAATAGTTAATGTCGTCTCAGCTATGGCTTTCAATTATGTTAAGTTTATTTGTTCTTCTGTACAATTGTGAAGTTTGCCTCATTTTGTTGGTTTGGAAGTACACAAGCTGATCAATTCAGCTGGCAGTAATTCAAAAAAATAAGACTCCAGATCACATTTCGTTTATTTAGTAGTTTCTACTCAAAATATTACTTTCATGCAAAAAAAAAAATAGAAAAAATAGGCATAATACATAAATATGTCTTTTAATTTAGTTTCATTTCACGTTTATTCACTTCAATTTTGGGTGTGCACAAGTAGACATTTATATTTGTATAAAGTTGATTTGGTCCCATTTCACATATATGCTCTTTAATTTTGGGTGTGCACAATAAACATATAAACTTGTATAAAGTTGAACAAATACATACATGTCCTACGTGACATTCTACATGACAATTTGTGTCCTACTTGTATTATGTCACATTGGACTCATGTGTACTTGTGCAATTTTATACAAGTTTAAGTGTCTACTTGTATACACTCAAAGTTGAAGAGTATAAATATAAAACGGTGTCAAGTTAAAAGACATATTTATGTATTATGCCAAAAAATGGGCATAATACATAAATATGATCCTTCACTTGGTGTCACCTATTTGAGTGTGCAAAAGTAGACATTTAAATTTGTATAAAATTGAACAAATGGACACTTCCGTACTACATGACACCTTACATGACAATTTTGTATCCTACGTATATTATGTCACGAAGGACATATGTGTCAAATTTATACAAATTTCATCTTTGAATTATTGACAGTCTTAAAAACATCGCTCTACTGAACTAATGAAACTTATATACACCCTTATCTGCCACATGATAGCAAATGATCTCAAATTCTTATAAGATCATGAGAATCTTAACAAAAACCGAAATAAGTATTAAAAACATATTAAACTCAATAAAAACTTAAGAGTGTATTACACTCATATTTCAATCAAGATTGAAAGTGTATTTAAGTATAATTGATCATGGAGTATTTTTAAGACTTTCAGTTGTTATGACGGTCAATTGTAGAATTTTGTAAACATAATTATAAGACCATTAAGAGAGGGCATCTTTTGTTAAAAGGGAGCCATATATGTCAACAACAATTTGATAAAAGTGAGGAATAAAACCTTTTTGACATCCAAATTTCTCTCCTCTTCTTGAAAAAAATGAATTGTCATTTCTTAGTACCATGTGGTAGCTCAATTAGAGAATTGTCCACCCATGTTTTCTTCCCTTTTTATGTGATAAAGGACTTTATTTAGTTGATATTAAGTGAATTATTGGACACTTTTTCATAATTCAGAATAAATGACTTATTCAAAATTTAAGATAATTATTGAGACTTTTTTCATATTTATTTTTAATTTAAATGAGGTTCTTAACTATTTTATAATTTTTAGTTGAATAGTTAGGAAATAATCACGGTAATAGTGAAAAGTAATTTATAATTTATGCCCTAAAATATTCTTAAGGAGTGTCAGATTTTAATATTTCACTTAATATGGATGAGGCGGAGTAACATTTCAAGTATAAAAATGATTTTTGAAAATTGAATTGTATTTAAATATGGATTTCACTTTCTAAAACATTTAAATTTTGTGTGAGAGAAAAAAAAATTACTTGGTTAACTGGTCAAAATTAAATTAATTTTTCAATTTTTGTAAAACTCTCATTTTCAAAAACTAAACCAAATATCATCTAATGTGTAACTAAACAATATGTAAAATTTCATGTTTGAACGCTTGCAATCTCATGAAAATATATTATATATTTTTTTGGTAATTGAACATCAAGTAATATTGTCTTTAAATTACTTTTTAAATGAAGAGTGGGCAAAACAATGTATATTTCTTGACTAATGTATTTTTCTATGATAATCCATATAAAATAATTTTCTAAATTTTAAAGTAGACAGTAAGACAAATAGTTTCTTCTTCAAAATATTTTTGTTCATACCAAACAAATCATAAATATTTCTTAATGATTTTCAACTATACGTATAGTAAATAAAAATTAGAATTCTTGTATTTTATTTCAAAAACACTATATATTTATTGTAGAAAAAGTGCTTCATGGTGATAGCAAAATATTATGAACAATTGGAATCTAATACTAGCTTTTATATCCATGGGAATTTCAACCATTAATTATATTATTATAGAGCTATCTTTTCTATTCTATTATTTCACTAAATTATTGAAGAAAGAGTACCATGATATGATATCTCAGCTTTATATATATATATATATATATATATATATATATATATATATAATGAATAAAATTTGATTACTAGTTTTTTTCAATTTTTTTCATAGAGTGTTTTATTTCTTCAATTTTTGATAAAGTGATTTATTCTCAACGTAAAACTTTCTAGGGCGAATTTAAATTTAATTAAACTTATTAAAATTGAACATCGCACAAATATCATCTTTCTTTTCCCTTTCCAATTATTTCATTAGTTCACATGAAAACAACTACCATGAGTGTACTTTGATGTAACTCAACTTTAATATATATTAATTAAGCTTAAATTATTGAAGAATGTTCATCAAACCTAGATCTGACCAGCAAGGCATCATGTTCCATATAAATCAGTTATATTTGTCTGATTAAAAAGGAATAAAACATAATAATTCTTCTGAATTATGGCAAAATTACAATTACACACTTAAATTATAGAAGAAATCCATAAGTCGTATGAATTTGATCTTTTCATATTATATAACCTTAAACCATGTGAGGGTCTTGATACCCCTTAGATATGTTTAACCTAATTAATTTTTTTGTATTTAATTGGCAAAATTGCACTATTTTTGTGTTTAACCTATTTTTTGGATAACACTTGTATTCTCTGTATTACCGCGACTGTTGACACAGAGTTAGTCGATACTTATTTCTTAGTTACCATCATTATTTCTTCTCCGAAAAAAGAAATTTAGACCGTAGGCCTCTATTAAAGATGATATTGCATTGCTTGTTTTGATATCTATTTAATTATTTTTTAAATTTTACTTCTTTATTAAAAATACATTTAAGTGGTAATTAATGAGTAGTCACTAATTAACAGTAAGACAAGCTTTTAGTTTCTGACAAATAGTTTAGGCAACTCCTTCAAAATATTTATTCTCTCCATGATTTGGTCAAACATTCCAGTTTAAAAAATAGGTCTAAAATATAAAAATGTCTTTTAATTTAATTCTAACGGTTCAATTTTGGATATAAACAAATAAATATACATATCTTACTTACTTAGATGAAGTGTGAAGAGAGTTGGAAACTTAAAATAAACCATAAAAATATAAAAATAATCAAAATAAGCCACTATTTTAGTTACTAAAATAAGCTTAGTGGAAGAAAAAGTTTCACTTTATCTAATTTTCTAAACGTTTTTCGTTAGTTTCATAACGTGTATTTTTAATGTATAACGAAACTTTTTCTTACAGTTTATAAATATCAAGTGGAGCTTTTTCTTCTACTTTATAAAGTGGAACTTTTTCTTCAACGGTAAAGTAATTTTCTATAAAGTGGAACTTTTTCTTCCACTTTATAAAGTGGGAGAAAATCTTCCACTTTATAGAAAATTACTTTACCTTTTCACCTTCTCGTTCTTTCTTTCACTTTCATGGCTTCTAAGCTTACACTTTGAAAATTAATATTGATGGTCCCAATTCGACAACTGAAGCGGGCCCACTAAATAAATCAAAATTTCGAAGTAGCACAACCCGACAACATAATAATTCGTCCCTGTAAATTATATAAATTAGGTATTTCTTTAACATCTCATATTTTCTTTACTTAGAATGTGTTTCATTTATCTCATCTTGTGTCTAGTATAGTATCATTTTGACTAATGGTTCTGATTCACGGAGTAAATTATAACTTACATGTTATTAAATTATTTTGATTTTATTTTACAATGGAATAGTAAAAAAAGAGCTGATTTAGCTTTATTCCGTATTCCTAATTTAGATTTCATTTCTACTTGTTAGTGGGATAATTATTGATGTTCATAAGAGGATTAGTTGCTCAATCTCTATGTTGTATTAAATTTGAAAATAAATTATGAAAGAAATATTCCTATGGTCCAACTTTGGACCTTACGTTAAAAAGGAGATTGAAATTTTGAATAGTATAGTAAAGTTGAATTTTTTGAATTTTGTGAGAGTTCTTTAAGATACCCATTAGCTTTGACAAAATGATATTAAACATTTTTGAGAATGATATTAAACCACAAAGTTATAGTCTAATTTGTTTTTATCTTATTATTTAACTACAATAGAATGAATCAAAATATAATGATGTAAACACCTGAAGCTAATCTGGCAAAGTAAAAAAAAACACTAAGGATGTGTTGGGAGCTCTGTACAATCTGGCAAACTAAAAAAAAAAATCACATACTAGACATATAGGGAGTCTAGCAGCTAATTTAGTGTAGATTCCTTTTTGTGTGTGTTATAAACAATTCCTTTCACAAAATATAATTACCAGCATATTCCCAAGGAAATATCCCAATGGCCTTTTTTTCCAGTGATTGTTTGCTTGTTCAAATGCTACTTCGCCAACACTGTTCGGGTGATTGATTACTATTTCTGTGATTTTGTTTTAGTAATTTCTTTTGGAGTTAGCAGACTCAAGTTATTTCACCAACTTGAGTTGAAAGCTGAGAGAGTGATATCGTTATTCTTTGTTAGATTTTGATTAATAGTAGAAAGCATTCTTTATGATTATGTCATAATTAATAACTAAGAATTTTAAACATTATTTGGTTAAAATATTCTCGATCATCATATATGTTCTCACTACTTACTCAATTAGTATTTTTTTTCTTTTACTCCCCTTCACAATTCAAAAGTTAAAACCTCGCTGAGGAACCTCGACAAATAATAAAAGGTATAATATAGAATTTCACTTTTACCGCGAGGTTCAACAAAGTTATAGAAGTAAATAAAAAGCAGAACTGTCTAGGCATTAATATGTCAAAATATAATTATATTATACGAATTAATATAATTTTTCTTACAATATATAATGGAGCGTGTTTTGAATCATGGATCGATTGACCGTACACTTCTTCTCTCTCAGCATGAGTATAAATCAGAATTGTTATGGAAAGG